CGGACTCCTACCTGGGACTCGCATTCCACAGAACTCAAATCCATCTTTTTGGACTCCTCCTCTAGAGTAAAAAAAATATACATATAACATTTACCATGGCAAAGAATTTAACATTAAACAAGACATATACTGTATGTTCAATAATCTGTAACTTTTACAATTTTAACAATTACAAATACTGAAACACATATTTCCGCAAATAGTTAATAAAAACTTTTTCTTTTATTTGAGTGTTCAGTTTGTCTCTCAGGGAATATTTTATGGTTCATAGCAGGAGACTAAAAAGACTTCACAGCAGTATTTTAAATAGTGCAATGCTATTCTCAGTGGCTGCCCACATGGGATCATGAAAAATATTTAATTGTCTGGTCAGTTCCTTTTTCTCTGAATACGGTTTTCTTGGTTTAATGTTTACACAGGGTAACAGCTGAAATCAAAGCACAAACACTGAAATACATTGCTGATGCAACTATCATAAAGTAGCGGCATGGCCCTTTTCTGGATCAAACAGAGCAGATGTTATTCCCCTTAGACTAACACAGTGTAAACCACACACACAAACTGAATCCATATGGCAAAGCACCCCAGGCGTTTCATGCCGATGTGCGTACCTCGTGGGGAATTCTTAAAATCTGTTACCTTTTTCACTAGATTTTAAAGTGCACAGTAGCATCATTAACAAAACTAACTAGTCGTTCACACAGTTGTGTCATGAAACACTGAACAAGACGAGACGATGAGTTCTACCTTCTCCTCCAGTCTGTTCAGTTTCCAAGTGTAGAAGGATGTCTATGGCCCACTGAACCTGGTGTTCGGCATCAGCTTTGGGGAAGTTGTGAGAGTATAGCCACTCTCCAAACTCTAGCAGAAGGCTGACTTTCTGCCAATGAGTCTCTACACTCTGCTGACAAATGGCATCACAAACACAACAGTCAATATATAATAACATATTTTTAAAGATACTTTTATCCATTTTGCCTTTGTTTGATAGTTGACAGGAGATGGTCCTTTATGTGTCCCGGAGCTTGTGTTAAATTGACACCTTTGGATGGTGTAACAGATGTCATTCATCCTAACTCCAATGAAGAGACTGTCTTTCTGTGTTCCTCACAGTTGTAATGACATGCTGGCTCCACATGATGGTGATAGAGACCTTACTAGAAATATTGCCTTTACTCAGTGCAAAGAGACTACACAGGGAAAAAAATCATGAACTTTCTAATGTGACAGATTCCAACATGATCTATCTGCATCTGCATAATCTGTTGCTGTACCAGGTTCGGGTCGGGTAATGATGTCAAAATAGTGTCAGAACAGAGGTATTACCAACAGAGAGGTGATGGATTTCTGGTAGCAGATGAGCTGTTGGGTTATCTTGCCAGCACACAGAGCCACCTGGTGCCACATGAATGAATGGCACTGCTCTCCTTCGTCTTGTAACTTCTGCATGTCCATCAGTACATTTTCATCCAGCCGTGCTTTAACCAGTATTCTGTGTTTCAGCAGAGGTCTGGTAAAACACAGGCAATATGATTTATTGTTGACTTTCTCTCCATCTACTTCTCCAGTTTCTTTCACATTTTTCCCCCAGTCCCCAATATGTAATTTTTTTAAACTCACATCCGGTGTCTGGTGCGAGGCATTTCTCTAATAGCTTGGTCCAGCAGCTGCAGAGCACTTTTCCAGTCTGTCTTATCAATGTGGATGTGGAGCAACAAACTGTAAATGGCTGCTCTCAGGGTTAGGTCCTCTTCACCTACTTACATACATGGGTATAGAAATGCATATTTAGATGACTTAATGATGATCTGTTATCCAATTTATTTAAATACATGTTCATAATTTAATTATCAATGTAGAACTTTAGCTGCCTAATTGACAATTCAAGTGCAAATGTCACAGTCCCCAGTGTTTATCCTGGAATAAATAACACTTTTATTTACAGTATAGAGGTACAGAGGAAACAAATCATGAGGCCATCTGCAAGGTGTGCAGCCTCCTTTTACCTGTTGCTTCATGTTTAGAACTCCCAAGAGGCAGTGCTGTCAAGGTCAGCAAGCCTTTCATTTTGCCCTGCTTCTGAAAAAGAAAGGGAAAGGATTAATACATAAGTCGCTACAAGTGTGAGAAGGGCAGTGTTGCCGTTGGTGGTAAAAAGTTAAAGCGCACTGATGTACAGTTGAAGATACATTTCTATCAGACCTTTCTATGTATCTGATCCAGCACTCTTTTCTGTAAATCCCCTTCCACATCCAGAGCCTGCAACATGACTTGGTTCAGTTATCTGGGAGAGGCAGTCATTTTGATGTACAGACTTTGGCAACCCATACAAAAAAAAGCGTTTTCCTTGATTATTGCGGGTTGCATCACTACTGAAGATCAGTATCAAGTTAGAAAGAACACCACAGATGAAGATCATAAGCTGCCTTTAATTATGGATTTTAAGTTATTTTGCACTGGAACAACTGTTTATCCCCCTGGCTGGATTGCTGTCCACAGGCAGTGCTGGGGAGATGTTCTCACATTTAAGCACACCCACAAGTTCCCCTGTAGCAGCCTCATGAAAATGTTTCATCAACGTTATCATAAATTAAAGATTACAGAGCAAGTTTAAGAACTGCGCCACCTATTTTACTTAGTTTTACAGCAACCAAACTAAAGTTGTCAAAAAAAGAAATAAGAAATAGGACAAAGTAGGAAACAAAACAGAAAATACAGGTCATGATAGATCAGTTCTGGTTTTGCTCATTAGCTGTTCATTTTGTTGCTAGTATTTTTTTGGCTGAACTTTTGTCATGTCAGATGGCATTAAAAAAATTGGCTTGTCTGATGCTGGGACTGGGAATGGGCTGGAACATTTTCCTTAACAGAGGGGCAGACTCTGTGTTTCTGTGGTTTCATTGTTGCTGTGCTGCGTTACTGCTCCTGCTTAGAAGTTGAGATGCACCAATAAAAATGCTTTATGTTGTTAAACATCACAGAAATGCAAAAATGTAGTTGTGTGATGTCCTATGTTTAAGCCAGGTGCTGCATGACAGATTCACCAAATGAAAAATAAGAAAGTACCTGCACATTGGATTACAGCAACAACAAAAAAACTGTATTGAAACTGTATTTTCAAATATTTTTTTATACTTTGTGAAACAATTACATTTTTAGACGTTTTTCAGGAGGGTCATTTTGTGTTTGGCTTTATATTTTTTGTCTAATAACTAGGGATGGGGATCGTTAATTTTTATTGATAATGATACCCTTATTGAGACTGCTTAACGATCCGATTCTTTATCGATACCACTATGGATACTTTACTATTATTTAGTGATGGTTATTTGGTAAAGACCAGACCCAACGGGCATGAGGTAGGACTGCACGGTATGAGGAAAATATTCAATGTGCGATAAGGTTGTTATATATTGAGATGATATATTGAGATCACATGACTTGCGATAAATACACATAATATTGAAGTGCTCATGGCTGCCTGGGTGTTTTAAAATTAATTATAGGATTAGAATTTAACATTATAAATACAGCTAAATATTGTTTCTAGAGCAGCAACATTAATGTTTACAACAGCAAAGATTGCACAATATTGTTTTATTATTTTATTTTTATATATATATTTTTTAAACATACACAAACATACACACACACGCTTACTGTTTCATTTATTTATTTATTTTTAATGTATTTTTATTTTTTTAAACACACACACACGCTTACTGTTTTATTTATTTATTTTATTTTAATTTTTAATATTTCTTCTTTTTTTTAACACAAACACACATACGCTTTGATTACTTTACGCTTTAAATTACTCGTTTAATGAAATGTATGGGGTTCATTGTTCTTATGTTGTATGTATGATGCTTTGGCAATGTTGTTGTTACACATTCATGCCAATAAAGCTAATTTGAATTGAATTGAATTGAATTGTGTGTGTGTGTGTGTGTGTGTGTGTGTGTGTGCATGTGATAGAGGGCAGCAGAGGCGGCAGTCCAATGATAAACAGTCTCGGGCCTGTTTAATACCGAGTTTCGGTGCGATCAATTAATAAATATTAGTTTTCTTGTCCATTGCGTTTCAAGATAAATCAGATTTGATGCTCGAGATATAATGTTACAGGACCCGCTAGTCTCCATAGCAGTATCGATAAGGTAGGACGTTATTGATTTTCGGGTTTTGTGAAATTTTGGAACCGGGTCCTTTTAGAACCCGGTCTCGATCCCCATCCCTACTGATAACTTTGGACTATGACTATAAAAGGATATCATCATGCCTATTTTTGAAAAAAATATGTCCATGTTGGCCTTTTTCCTAATGTAGACCTGGGAGGGTCCAAACACCACAGACATACCTTCAAAGGATTTAGTTTTGCTTTTGTTCACATTAAAACTTTTATGGAAATCACACTAGGAGTGTATCATGAAAAATCTACTCTGGATCCTGCCTTCAGACACCAACGTAAAAAAAATTAAATATTAAATGTAAATATGGCTAAAGAAGAACCCATACATTTGCATGTTTCAAGTTGGTATGAACCAGAGCAACCAGGATCTTCTCCAGGGGCTCCTTGAGCTGCCATCTTTCCTCAGGAGTTTGTGTCAGGGGTAGACAAGCATTCCAGTAATGCCTGGCAGCTGCGACACACAATGCTGGATTCTCAGCCTCAGCATAGCTATGGACAAGAGAATATAATTAGCACATAAGGTAAGAAATAAAAAATGTAGAGAGACCAGATTAAGAGAATATTTTTAGAAAACTAGTTTGTAGCTGCCCAAGGCATTCGTCAATAAATAAGCAGCACCTGACACTGGACAGGAGCACCTTCATAGCCTCTCTGTAACTGTGGAGATCTCCATTGGACTCATGGATTAAACTCAAACCCCTCAAACAAGCCGCAGTGCTCAGCATCTCATTCACTGCAGTCAGGCCATACCTAGGGATATGAGGAAATCCATTAGCTGTCCAAGTTCATCAATCAATCAACCAAAATGTAAAACTGACACAAAGAAAAATCCAAAGCTGTGCAACTTGATTCAAACTCTCCAACTTCATGCAAAAATGGAAAGCAATGCTTGCTCATTTGTATCAACTGCAATACTCTTGAACATGCACAAGATGTCACCTGCCCCTCAGACAGCTTTGGAGGCAAAAACCTCAACCACTCCTAACACCTATCTGTAGTGCTTGCCATAACAAACATATACATTCATTTCAAGTGCAGTCCCTTTTGTCCATTTTTAAGAATTAGATAAAAAAATTAAATATACAATTTATTCCGCTAATTCCACTTACAAAACACAAGGCATGGTTTTGAGGTTCTTTGCTGCTGCTTCTTCCAGCTGCAGAGCATTCTTGGTGCAGCACAACACCAAGCTGTGGTCCTTGGAATAGTGGCAGAAGGCAGCCAGCTGGCACCACACCTGCAACTCCACCACGGCGTCAGTCCAGCTGCATTCAGACGCCATGCTCACCAGCTTTAGGTGAGGCGGGAGAATAGGGGAGGGGAGGAAAATGGAGGTGGATGAGGGAAAGGAAGGGGGGGTAGTGAGGGTAAAGACGACAAGAGGGAGGGTGAGAAAAGCAGGGTGGAGTGAATCGCATAAAGGCAAAGAAGGTGAGGGAGGAGACAGGAGAAGAAAAGGAAAGGACAGAAATTAAGAAACCATTTGCGAGGGAAAAGACAGATGGCAGTAAGCATAAGGGTAGAGTAAAAACATAAATGTAAGCATTGGAAAGAGGAATAGAACGGAGTAAATGTGTAAAGCAGGAGGTAATCAGGGATGAGAGGAAGGTAGCAAAGGAATGAGTGAATGGAAGCACACAGAAAGTGACAGGTTAGAAGGAAGGAGGATTAACGAGAAGTGGAAAAGAAAAAGAAAACAAATGAGATAAGGTCAAGAAAAAGGGAGGTGGGGTGATGGACAAATGGAAAACATTTATAGAGTTTAAGAAGGCGAGGATGAGCACAGAATGTATGAGAGAAAGGAGTGAACCAAAATGCGAAGATAGGAAGGAGGAGAAAAGAGCCGAAGAGAGATGGATGGATGAGAGACAGAGTGAAAGAAGATATAGCCAACGGGCCTGTCAGGGCCAATGACGTTAATCCGACCAAAGCATGATGATCAAGGTAGCTACATTATTTTGAAGATATTGACACATGATGAGCTGCAGACAGAGTCTGCGCTGCGATCTCGGCATTTGTTGTAACCATCTGGCCAACGGCTACTGTAGCAAAACATGAACAAAGAAGTACATACTGTGGAGAGACTGGGAACGGAGAACTCCATATGCCTCGGGTTCCTATTGCACTGGAGCATCTCCACTCCAACCAGCACACGCGTCATCGCTGACACGTCCTCATTCTCACACTGCCAATGGGGAAGAGAACCATGCATACTCTTTATTTAAATTTTTTTGGGGCGAGGCAATTTAACATACAGAGTATGAAAGTGACGTGCTGCACAGTTTAGAGCTCTTGCTAACTCAACTCTTGTCCCTTGTTGGGCTGTTACATGTACAGTGTAATTCAAATCACACAATACACTGTACAGATATGGAAATACAATAAATACACATACCACAATACACATACACCAATGTACCTTATGTTTAAGAAAAGAACATATTGCTATTTGCTCGTAAATGAAACATGGACCTGGAGTATGATTATCATATTGTATGCATGTGTCTGAAATACAGCAGAGATGGCCTTGCTGATAATGAATGACTTCCTATTGTTTGGAAAATTAGTTGATGATTGATTTGAGATTACAGATGAACCCCATTTATTTTAACACTGCATTTCTTAATTTGCATGGCAAGAAACAAACAGAATGGATTAAAGTAGACCAGGAAATCCTTGGCAGACAAATGGTCGTAGGATTATGGTGACTAATCAAACAGTCCATTTAACTGACAAATTGTATAGGTGCTTTCCCCGCATTTTTGTCCCACTGCAAAGCAGTACAATCAGGAAATATGACATCCGGAGATGATCACAAACCAGCGGATACAATACTGTAATATGGATATAGTGGAAGTGCCACCTACTACGTGAAAACAATTAATAAAAATGTCAGGCATCATAAGCCTACAATACTATAAGCACATTACAGAAGAACTGCAAGAACACCATAATACAGGAAGCATTATGAATGTGACATGAATATGTGACAATGAGCTATACAGTTGTCTCAGTGTGCATTCAGTCTCCTTTGCATTTCACATTTACAAGCCCTTTAGCAGCCCTTTTTATCTTAAATATAGTATACAGAGGATAGCAACCCCTCCACGCGAAAAAGAAAAATAATTGCATTGGAATGTATAAATATATAATCTTTGTTACATCACAAAATTAGCAATACTGAAGGCTTTTTGTTGATTTTGCTGTTGTTTAAAAACAATTTTATACATTTGTTTCATCATCGTTTTGATGCACTCCTGCCAACTATGTTCTAAAACTGAAAATGCTGTGATTCAGTGATCACAACAATTTCAGTCACCTCACTTTTAACTATATCTGGTTCTTTTCATACAAGTCTTGCACCGAAATCCTAGTTAGTAGAGCATTAAACGCATACATGCACATGCAGAGCATAAAACGTAAAAAACTGAAGGACACAGAAAAGATGAAGCAGCTGTGAGGCGTGAGAATGCAAGGTGCGAATTTCTGTGGACATCAGTCCAACTTTTCAGTGTCTTAATCGAAAATATGAGGTTTCATAAGTTTGCATGCCAATGGCTCCTCTTTTAATCAATTTGAGATTGAGGTGATGGATGGTTGGAAGGGGATGGACTTTCTAACCTTAGTTTCGCCGAGGCTGAATTTGTCACACCACTCAGGCCCCGATCAGACAGAATGCGTTTTTTGCAGTGAGAGGTGCCTTTTTTAAATAGTTTTCTATTTGGCACTGAGCGTTATGTGGGCTGTTAAGGCCCCCTTGGCGCTTAACGTTTTAGCCGCCTGCTGCACCTCACATTTTCGAAGGAGTGTTCTGAGCAGAAAAGCGCCCAACATCATTCGCGTTTTTTTCAATTGTGCAATCAAATGAATGGAGAGACGGGGCCTCGGTTGTGGTGACGGAAGTTTACAGTTGCTTGGATTGTCCAGAGACTGCAACAAACTGTCCCCGACTCATCCTAAAATAAGCCTTGAACCGACTATCATTAAGACGAAGCTCCTGGACAAACTGGTTGTACTACCAGCGGTGTCTCCTCTTTCTGAGGTTCTCATGTGCCCACACGGATGTTTCCCTGTCTCCTGCGTGTTTGTACACCTCTCACCCTCAAACAATGCAAGCGCTCTCCGTTTGTCTATTTTTTAAAGCAGATGTTTTTAGCAACAAAAGACACAGACCTGTGAGTTGTGATCAAGCTTGTGCTAATATGACAGTTATTACTTAGACTGACAGGACAGTTGATTTGGTGGTTGCCTGGCAACATAAAACAACGGCAGTGCACTGGAATTTTCCAAATTCAACTGAAAAGGCTCCTCGCGTTTTCAAACCTGCAAACGCTGTCTGATTGGGGCCTTAGGCTGTATGTATCATTTACGTCAGGCCACACCGCAAATACTGGAATGTTCTCCCTGACCAGACAGCATAGATAAAACAACTTTAGCCTTAGGCTACATCCACTGTTTATCTTTTATTTATCTATGGTGTCTGGTCAGGGACAATATTACAGTATTTGCGGTGTGGCCTGATGTAAAACGAGAAGGCAAGACATACAGCCTCAAGAATGTTGTTATTTTCAGTTTAGTTTTGTTCACCACTAAATGACTGCAGGTGTAAACCTGATCTGATGTGGTGTGTTGTTGTCTTTTTGCTACGAGTATCTTGACTGAAGAGTTTTTCGTTTGTTCTAGCATTTTCTTTTTAGCATCAGTATGTGATTTTGTTGGTTGTATGAAGAGGAACCAGAACACAACACTTCATGGAGCATGCTGTTTTGCAAATGGAAACACACTTTTGGTGTTTGTGTCACCTATTGTCAAAACCGGGCTTTTGTTTCATACAACAGGTACAAAAAAGTGCTGCAGTTTGTCTCATGTTGCTACTGGCACACCAGTCATCTTTATCTTTGTCAATTTACAATCATTAGTTGAGAAAAGGTTGCCGACCCCTGGAGCCGGTAGCATCAGCTGTTCACAAATTCAGACATTTTTACTAAGTGGAGGTTTATGGCTCATTAGACAGTAATGGGCCGAATCACACAAACTAGCTCTTAGGCAGAGATTAGTTGTTACTTAATATTTACACCCAGTAACTTCTAAGAATGTTACAGTCAACATATCTGACCAGAAACTTGATAAATGCTTTTTAAAAATTATGTAAATCTTTTAAATTACAATTTACAAAAATTAAAATAACATACCACAAATTAGCAAACGTTTGACTAAATACATGAGTCAATAACGTCAGTTAATTTAGCATAGTCTTTTCCCACTAACCCTAAACTGTATGAATAGTATTTATACTAAACAAAATAGAGTATTACCAACATTTCTAAAAGATGATGTTTTGCCCTTCTAAAACTGTAGTTTTTGAGACTGTGCTAGCTGGTGATAATGCAGTGACGTCATGTTTACATAGTTCATTGCTCTTGTTTGCATAGCGCTATAGATGTTTACTAGAAAACTATTTACATTTGACTAAAGTCTTTACTAGCAAAGACATTTCTTAAGTTTTAATGGTGCAACCTGATTTAGTAAATCAGTACTTGAAACTAGCAAGTAGTTATTGAGATCTTAAGAATGACTTTACATTCAAACTTATTAATGGATTTATGAATAGCTGGCGCAACCAAATCCTGGACTACAATGTAATATGTTATATTTATAATGTACGTGCTCTCAAATCTTGGTTAGATCTAAACATATATTGGCAAACTAAAACAAAGCACTTTTGGGCTGACACAGTGGATGGTACCTCATCTTTAATATCCATCTTTGGGCCAATCTGCTGTTGCAAGAGCCTCTTGATCTGCACCCATGTGGCCACCACCTGCTTCCTTGCTGCGATAGGTACAGTCTCCCCTGGGATGTTGCAGTTGGATATGTAAAGGGCATAGTCACACAACTAGAAAGAAGGGTGGAAAACAACAACAGGTTACAGTCTATCAGCTAGAAGTACTTGGTATTAGTAGTCTGAGAAACTCAATAAATAGAACATGGCATTAACATAGTCGGGATTATGCATTATCCCAAATGATATTAAAAATGTTTATGCGGATCAAATTGTTTATCAGACTCTAAATTGTCCTCAGTTGTGAGTGTGACTGGTTGTCTGTCTATGTGTGGCCCTGCGATGGACTGGCGACCTGTCCAGGGTGTACCCCGTCTTTTGCCCGATGTCAGCTGGGATTGGCTCCACCCCCCCCCCCCAACCCTGTACGCAGGATAAGCGGTTGACGATGGATGGATGGAAAGTGTCTATCAAATACCATACGTTATGATATGTTTCTGAAAGACCTGGACTTTCTCTAGCCCAAGGCCCTCTGCCAGCCTTTCAGCTGTAGACACGACAGACTCAGAATTCAGTAGGATTTTGTTAGACAGTGTAGCTGATCCTGTTGTACTGTGAACTATGTATAAAAAATGTATTGGAAAGTTTTTTAATATCTTTTCATCAAAAAGGAAACAGACACATTGAATGTCGGTTAATAATTCACTGATAAAGTGCCTTTCATCTGGAGTTAGAGCTTATATAAATGGTTGATAGAAAAGGAGAAAGGAAAGGGTTTAATTGGCAGCTGCAGCATAGAGAACATAGAAATCAGGCTTTAATGGCACAAAGAAACCCGGTCAGGAAAGCAAAATGTGAGTGTGTGCGCGTGCGTGTGAGCTTGGTTGGATGAATAGTGTGTGTCAAAGGATGAGCGAGATAAAATGTATCCTGAGAGTGCTTCAACTTTTCACCTTTGAAGATCATATCAAGGAGTAATCAGTGCTTCCTGAGAGGCCTTGTATTTCTAATATACAGATACAAACACATACTGTATGAAACTTAAACAATACCTTTGTCTATATTGCTTTCTTGCCTTGAGTGCTAAGCCTCAACATATACAAAGTGGCCTTATTCTTTGCATTCTTGTCTGTTTTGGTGAATCCCATTTTGACATACCATAATAATAATGTACCTAAGGGCTAAAATACATTTCAGGGAATGGATGTACTAGAAGCTTGATAGCTTTGATAGCTCCAAAAAAAGGTTGCCATTTGTTCTATTAAAGCTCATCATCTATCATACGGATACTGACCTATTTCATAGTTCATAATTCATAAAATAAAAAGGGATCATTTGAAAAGTTACAAGCAACTGTAACTTTGAATAGTGAAATACTGAATTCGAAAGTTTTAAACAGTATAACAAAGTTCACAGAGTGTAAACTGTTTCATACTTTTTTGCAGTGTAATATCTGTACAAAAGATTAAAATTTGATTGTCTGAACACGTCTTGCAAGGACGCTCCCTCCCTCCCTCTCTCTCTCTTTCTCATGCTGCATAAATCTGTCCAACACAACCCTGTCAATATCGGAAACCCACCATAAAAAAAGCTATTAGCAAAGCAAGCATGTAAGGAGCCTAGCTAATAGGGTTAAAGTTAGATCATAGGTGGGTTGTCGAGGTTAGCACGCTGTAGCTGGTAGTCAATATCGACTGCAAACCCCCCCACCCACCCCTGCACCACAGTTACGCTGTCATTCTGTGGGAAACACGGTGTTTCGATTAATTTGTAAGCTGGTTTCATGATACTTGGAGGTTTTGAAACGCTAGGGAACGTATTATAACTTCTATCCTCAGCCTTCTTCAGAATTGATTTTTTATTATCTCCTTTAGAAGATAAGGACAGTGACAGTGCAATTGCCGCTCAAGTCTTACCAGATAGTTGTCTTGTAAGTAGTTCTGTGTTTACAGGCTTTTTTACCTTTATGCAAATATGCGTATATGCAAATATACAACTTAAATAATTGCTTTGTAGGGAGCTTTAATAAAAATGTATGGTAAGAGAGGGCATTTTTATGAAGATGTTTATTTATGTGTGCTGGTTTTATGTTACTTTATTGTAACATAGGACATCTGGATCCATCTTTGGTTCTGATTTTATAAAAAATATATGGTGTCAGAGAGAATGAAAAAAATATGGTGACAAAGATGGGTTTTATGCCCATGTTGGTGACATAGGTACAGGAACTGGTGTAGGTGGTGGTTCTGCCGTCACTCTTCTTCACAAATACATATATGGTACTAATACTTATTAAATACATTCATTTAAACACTAGGTCAAGCACAGCCACACACTAACATACCTCTAATGCCTTGCGGACATCCTGCAGGGCAGCAGGTTCTAAAAAAAAACCAAGGACACTGGCAGCCTTCTCCATTCCCTTTTCAGCTTTGCTTTTACTCTTGTCTCCTGGCAGAGCGATGCTGTATGGTCCACACAGAGGCTGGATCAACCCCGGGCCACAGCATTACACAGCAGCACAAACAGAACACGAGTCCTGAGAAATACAACACACAAACTGACATTATCTGGAAAAAACAAGTACTGAAAGATGGGCTTCAAGGCCAAACATTTATTTTTATATTTTAGTTCTTCCTGGAAATAAAAAACCTAACCACAGATTTTGGACGGCAAAAAGTATGTTTCCATGGCCACATACATGAGAATGTCACTGAATCCCAACATTCACATAATTACTGCTATGCCCAAGGACATTGGTCCATTTTCATGAACATTCACTTCTTCTTTCCATACCCAGACATAAGTGCAGAGCTTAAACTGCCTCCTTTTCTGTGTGTGAGCTTCAGTGCCACAGAGAATAAATTAACAATGTTTTCAGAGGTCAACTCTGACCGTGCCTAAAATGATTTTCTAAGGACATGTGTACAATGTGCTGTTATCAGCTGAAAACCTAATAACTTCACCCAAATTGAAAGACTATGTTTACACAGTAGTCCACTGAGGGTTGGGTAAATGACTGCTAGGCTGATGAAACACTTTCAAAACCTCTAAGTCATTTAAAAATTTACAGTCATCAGTCTAAAAATACCTTTGTTTCATGGTTTTTTGAAATGATGACCTTTTAGGAATACGTTTTTATCAAACACCTGTGATATTCGGGTTCAGACCTGTTCACAAAAAGCTTAAATGTTAGCACTGGACCAAAATAAAAACACTGCAAGAACTCCAGGCCTAATTACCAAACGATTCTGTCTAACATGCATATACCCTGTAACAAAACTGATTAGAGGCCAAGCCTACCCTGTGTACTCTGTTTTTCGAAGGACCTCCACCAGACTCTGGAAGGTGGGAAGCAGGTGTTGGTACTCCCCAGCTACTAACACGTGGCTGCTGTAGTTCCACAGGTAAACGGCTGCATTTGCTACGACCCAGGGCTCCCTGATCTCTGCACCGAGCTCCGCTGCCCGCAAGAAGTTGGAGGTGGCGTAGGCAGACAGAGCCTGGATCCAGGTCTCTGGGTAGGGAGAGGGAAAGGGACAGCGAAAGTTGTGCTTGTGTGTGAGAGAATAAGATACCAAAGTGGCCACATGGTAAAAAATTAAACTGAAGGTGAAAATGTCAATTCTTTTTTTTAGCAAATTAAAAAATTAATTTATCAAAACTATTTGTTGTAACAAAAGATAAGAAACACAAATTGGAGGAAATGTGGTCATGGAAAGGTACTTACAGTCTATCAGACTGTTTTCCTGAGATCTCACAGCTTGCATTGCTGCTATAGTTAATAATGACAATTAACAATGTACAATGCAAAAGCATTTATTATCATCTCTGAAAGCTTAAAATGAATAAAACGTGCATTAAATCTATGATATGCAAATAATAAAGTAGAAACATACACTCAAGAGACAAAAGATATACAAAATGAACAAAATGTCTGTATATTGTGTTTTCACCTGTAAACAACCCAGTGTGGATCATCTTCAGACACACACACCTCTGTTTCTACAGCAGGTACAGCAGGGCTGTTAAGCTGCACCCCCTCTGTTAGCAGCTTTTGGACAGTGGCCTGAGCAAGACAGAATACATTTATTTCTCAACTTCAAAAGATAATATTAAAGCTGATTTCCTGTTTTGACAACTTCATAATAAAAGGGGAAGGTAAGACCTTCTGCTATAGGAATCGCAGCTTCTCTAGAGCCATTGAAGCTCAATTGTAGAAGATCAAAGAAAAAAGAGACGACTGGTGGCAGACTACTCAGGTAAGACAAGAGAAACCTGTCTTCATCATCAGACTGATACGTAAGTATCTTTTAAATTAATGAATTCTCAAAAAATATACACCCATGTGCCATGGAACAAAGAGAGAGATACGTGTGAGGAGCAAGCAGAGAGGCTGCAGAGTGAGTCAGTTTTAGCAAGGCCATGTAGTTGCCGTAGATATTTGTCTCCATTTTCTTCAAAGTGCCGTCAAGATAACATCTCTATAGACTAATAGAGACTTGAAGCTGCAGGGTTGAGGGGAAGTGGGATTACACAATAAGACAACCTCATGAAACAAGCACAACAGTCTCTGACTCCAACCAATCAACATCTACCTCACGGGCTTGTTAAAAATCCCATAATGCATGTCTACTACTGCAAGCAGTCTTTGTTCCTAATCTCATATTTCAAAAGAAGAGCTCAAGCTGAATAAAATAAAATATTCCTATGATCTAAGATAGTTCAGTTAGTTTTTGTGAACATGAACACTAAACAACTGCATCCAAATAAGCTCAAAATAAAAAGCTGGTAGACCTGAAACTGTGAATGTAGTCTTTCCACTGATCTGTAGAATAAAACTGATAGACTGAGTGTAACTGTAACATTCTCAGAACCAGATGTTTGTGTCCCTAGAAGATTCCCTGGTAGAGGCCGTCATTCCTCATTTAGAGTTATAATCCTTTAGATTTTCATGAAATCAAACCCCAGCTTTGATTCCACAAACAGTTGGCATTTTTTCAGCAACAGCCATGTGATGTATTTACTTTGAGTAATTGCCTTTCTATATACACTAGTAGTCGTCATTGTTAGTGGCGGAGTACGCCATTCCAATGCTGGATTCAAATTGCCTTCACAGGAAACGATGCACATGAACCCTTCTACTGCTGTTGCTTTACATTTTAGGTGTTCCACTGGCACAACAAGGGGTGGCTTTTATTGTGAAGTAACCACATGGGAAAAGCTATGTATTTGTTACCGCTATTAGCACTGACCAAGATTTTACATCAAAAAGCATCTGTTAAACATTGTCATTGCAGGGAGTAATGGAACAAGAAGAAGCAGCCACAGACAGCTGTTAGGCGAAGAGCTGCAGGTGACAGGCAGCGCATCTCCAGCTCATCAGCAGGGCAACCACCTTTACTGTGTCCTGTAGCTGCACTGTTGCATTTATTATTGACTTAACTAGCTACTCAACAAGTGTTTGCTATATTATTAAACAACACTTGCTGTTTTGCCAAATCAACCAGGACTGAAATTTGTGGGATTAGAACTTTAACCGATGATGGATCAACAACAAACAAATTAAAATAAAATGCAGTTGGGTGAAAACAGCCAAAAGTCTTGCAGTGTATATACAGTAGTGTGAAACCTGTTTTTGTGTATTACTACTGTAAGAATATATGAGAAGTGTGTATGTGTGTCCAGGTTTAGGAGGCATGAGCCTGTAAGCACACACCTCAGCACTGATGAAGTGAATTTCAGCTAAAAGGCGCAGCAAGTCCTTCACACAGGTTTGACTTCCATTGCAATCGTGACATTCTGCACAGCTTTCTTCTTCTGAGCATCTACATTCTGGATCAAGTAGACAAAATGTGTGATGTGAATCCTGTAAGTGACAGCAATTTTGTATTTAACAGTATTCCAACAACTCCTACTACTACTATTACTGCTTCCTCTTCACCTGTCTTTTCATATGGAATACTTCTAACCAAATGATGTCATATGTCATGTTATCAGTAATTTTATCATACTGCACCAGTAACAGAGCAGTTCTATCACACATTAGTTATACTGAATATCTAAGCGTTTGGGTTCTCTTTATTCATTCTAATATTCTAATACCGTCTCCCACAGTTTTAAGAGAATTTCTCTCATTTTACCGCCAGTCTAAGGATCATTCATCATCTTACTGTCAGTCTTGGAAATCTTCCACCTCCCATCATCGTAAAGCAGACAGAATCGACAAGCAGCTCGGCACACATCCCACATTTCCTGTTTCCTGGCTGTTTTTGCCAGTGTTGCCCACAACTTTACCCTGGAACAGCCAAGATAGAAGAAGACAACTTAAGAGATATCTTCCTTTTTAAAAGGTGGAGGTGAAGGCAAGGGCACAGCAGCTCACTGTATAAGATCTAAAGTTGTTTTTTTGATGCATGAATAATAAACGTTTCCTTTGGGGACTCAAGTACTCAAGTACTGATGACTCTGCTCTCTCCCAACGATTAAGCCTGACATTTTTGATGTGCACACTTTTCTACTGTAATGATATCGGTAGACAGAGGGATCTAAACTATGTGCTATGAATAAGGAGATGTAATTGAAGGTTGCAGTCACACAACAACTTTAACTGCAGAGGACTAATTCATCACACATTCAATATTATCTTATCTTATGTTTAGTAACAGCAAGGAGTAATACATTCAACAAGGCATAAAAGGCTAATTATATTTTCCAACTGGGTTTCTGGGATGTCTGACAGCTAAAAATAATTACTAAGAAAACTTAACACTGGCAAGAAGACAAGGCAAGGAGAATATACATACAAACAAACACACACACACCTCTCTGTGTTGTCTTTGTCATCTCCTTGTCTGGCCAGGTGTCCATCCATCTTTTGAACAGATGTAGAGTGATGCTGAGCCTTAGCAAAGAGCTGTGCCACTGGTCCAGATCCAAAACTGCCTACGGGAACTAGACAATTGTTGGAGTACTGAATAAAAAGTCAAACTTTATTAATGCTGTTGGAAAAGCTTCTGTAATCAATCATAAATACAATCCGGCTAGTTTGCACATAGTCTTGTCATTCTGTCTCTACTTCATAGAACATGGTATAAATGAGCATTCACATGCATAGTGAGAATGTTCTCCGTATAAAGACATAATGATTAGATTAGATATGTTGGACAAACACCACAAAACCATACCAACACCTCCCCACTCAAAAAAAAAAACAAAGACAGGGATGTTGTTTATGGATTGATGGATTGAATTATACAAAGAAGTCTGTGACTTTGAGTGCAGTGTTTCAAAGAAGCAACATACCCCTGAGTAGATACACACACTCTCTCAACTCTCTCATACACACACCTCACATTGAGCAACAATACAAAACTGTGGCAACATTACATGCTGCAATTAATTAATTCTTCTTGTCTCAAGGGTTACTTGGTGAGCTGGCTTTGAAGCTCAGAACCCAATGCTTAAGTGTCGTCATCTAGGGGATTCTTGAGGTTTATAGACAAAAACAAGAGGTGCCTCTATAGACCAAAGCTTTTAACCCAAGCCTGCAGTAGAAGCCCTTTGACTCGCTTTTAGAGGTGAATTCTTCCCTGGGTCATTAGGACTGCTGAATGTTCATTTGATGCTGTGGACCAAGGAGCCTGGAATGACTCTGAGATCAAAGGCTCTGCTCGAGCTCAGGCCCTTCTGCTCCACGAGCTGCTGCCTCAGCTGATGGGGCTTCGCTGTGAGCTACACAGGAACACACCAGATTCTCAGAGAAACTGTACACAACCTAGCAGCAAAGTTTAATGCTTCCACTAAAAGAACTTCTGTCCAGACTAAAAGACCGGGGGACACATTTACAAACAAGACCACGCACACTAATTTTGCTCTGTGACGTTCATTCAGTATGCATTCTCAATCTGCCTGTAATCAGTGCCTGCTTTACTGAGACAGCTGCTCATTACCCAATTAGCACAGAGGACTGCCTTCCAGGTGCATTCTGCAAGTAAAGGAGAACCTTGCCGCATTGACAAACTCATTACAGGATTCTTAAACATTTAGGTATGCCACAGTTAACACCTCAGATAAATGTTTTATTTTTAATAATTAATAATTTATAATATGTCCTGATCGGTAAGACTGTTTATATTATTAATGCAACACAACTCATTAAATGAACTTCAAAGAAATTGAAAAAAAAAAACACCCACAGAATACGGTGTACCATAGCCACAACAAAGTGCAGAGAAAGCTGAGAAAGTGAGAGAGCTAAGTGAGATCGAGCTGCAGGTTCAGCAGAAGCTCAGAACGGAGAAGAAGGATGGTAGAGAAAATGTAACACTGTAAATGCCTTATCAAAAGAATACCATGACAAAGTCATTTTACTGTTGACCAGGTGTAAAGTTAGAAAAGTATAATGAGCGCCTAGCCTCCACATTGTTTAATGCTATAAAAAGTCAGATCTTCTCCTTTCTCTGTTAAGCGTATATACATAAAGGAGAAAAGTGCCTTCAGAATATACCCTAAGACATATCATACAGCTTACAAATGTTTAATGAGTGATGGTGTGATTCCTGGTGCAGATACATAAGACTTAGTAAATATGGACGTGTGTTTCAAGCTATCCCTACAAGAAAGCAAATTCTTGCAAAACAGAGATGTCTTAAGAAAATGGAGCCTTAGTGAAAACTGAAAGCAAGGAAGAGAAATCTGTACTTTTGGAGGTGTCGTCTGCATCCAGCACCATCTGGAAATCATCAGGGGCCAAAAGGAGACCCACAGCGATCAGGATGGGACGACGGTCTGTCTTATCTTGCGGCTGCATGTCCCTGGCCTGAGAAAAAGAAGGGGTTGGATATCAAACTGGATGTTAACTTGTAGCCATGCAGTTTACTTACAGGCATATTCTCCTCTGTGACATTAAACAATGAATTTCTATCTTACTATTTCTATCCTACTTCTAGGGGGATAGGATGCTCTTCTCCTTTACTGTACCTACTGTATGTCTGAATGCCCAAGTATGCTAAGAACTGTCACATTTTGTAATGTACATGTGTCTGACACAAATGGACTGAAAACCTGCTGCATAAGCATAGCGGCTTTATCCTCAGTCCGGGAGGGCGTTTGGTAGAGGGTCCCTCTGAGCTGTAGGAGGTGAAAAGCTGACGACAGGCGTTCTCGTTGTGTCCCGTTATCCAGCCGCATGGCTTTCTGGAGCTGACTCAAAGAAGCCTCAAGGTGCCCCTCCTCCTCTTCAATCACTGCCAGCTCTGAATGGACTTGACAGCGCATCTCTAGCAACATACTGTGAACATAACACACAAACACTTCCAGCATAAACTAATCTATATCAAAGGAACACATCTGTAGGTCTAATACAAAAGTTCAACATTTGGAGATGCTACTGATAAATAATTAAAGAATATCTAAATGTTGGCTCTCAGTAAATAAAGTAACAAAAGACCACAGCGAAAGAAAGTTGACAAAAAAGTTACTGATATCATGATAGCATTTTTCTTTCAGATCTAAGACATATACATATACTGCAAGACAAAGTGTTTTTCCTCGTACCTTGAAAGTAATCATTGTAAAAATGTATATGTAGCTGTAGAAAATATATCGATGGTGCGTGTCGATCAGTCTGCATTACCATTGCAGTTTTTTCCAACTGCTTACACACAAAATCTTTACATGTCACACGATGTTTGAAACCCCTCACTCAAGACCAAAACCTCATCTCAAACATCTCTAAAACCATTAACTCTTTCTCAGCCTTTCACTCACTTTTCAATTGCATAAAACACTTTTATTCAAAACACTTCACACAATACTCTAACTACCTAAGACACAAAAATCTAACAGGAAGTGACCTGCTTTCCTTTTCCAAACACAACCAATCAAAATGCTACACTTATTCACCAGTACACACACCCACTCCTCACATGTGCAAACACTAACTGCTTAACTGATCACTAACCAATAACTGCTTTAGTATACAGTAGACCTATAAATAGGTCAAAGGTCAGATTAAACAATTTGAACAATGGATGGCAACAATGGACAAAGAGCAAGGGGAGTAGGAGGGAGAGGCCATGTACGACAACGAGGACAAAGTTCAAGGAGGAGATATGGAAGAGGAGGAGGGCAAAGAAGAGGAAGGAGAGCGATCATGATGAGTTTGGGGTCACACAGGTCGACAATGAAAGAAGGTGGACTGAGAGTCCCGCCCAACTTGAGTCGCTTTACAGTGGCATCCATAATTTGAACCTTCAGAAATTAGAACAGGTTGCAACAATCTAATGGTATTTCAGCAGTACAGTATTGTAAAATAAGTATTTTTTGCAATAAAAGTAAGAATTTTACTTTTGGTTTACATATGTTTATGGTTTGCTTTTCTTGTATGATACTGTATACAACACTGTGCTACTGTTACAACTGTAATGTTTTGCCAAATAAATATTTGCTGTTTCAACATTGCATTTGGTGTTTACAGTGTACTTCTCAGAACCTCTTAGCAGATAACTTACACTGTAAAACATTGAATGG